AGCCAGTACAGCTGTACCTACTAAATAATGTGTAATCGAAGTTTTGTTATCAAGGCGAAAGTGTTTTTGTGTATTCACTTGTCTAGTAATTAGTTTTGTGGGCTTAAATAACCAACTTGTTCAATAACATATGCTCTGGTACAGGTGTTCTTTCATATCTCTGGCTCATGTACATATGTACATATGTAGGTGTCTTTATCAGCATTGAAATTTTTCAACCTTATGTGGGCATATTGCCTTGGTTGGTTATCAACCACGCGAAACGTGGCCAATCTATTTGCTGTCATTTTACGTGAATCTCCACATAACTTTTGTATTTCCATACGTATGTATATGTATGTATGGATACTTTTCAATCGATAAGATAATTTTTAGCATTTTTGCAATAGAGGCAGTGGCCGTAGCTAAGTTCATTCGCACTGAATAGTGAATTTCCAAATGACTCATTATGTCACTGTTTACACGCGCTTTTAATTGCTGAATATATACCAATTTTTTCTGAGGAGGAACATAAATCGCACTATACCTCCTACCGTCCTGGTAGCGTTCCAGTTGTGTTTAGTCAATGCTGGCAAATCTAGCCTTTAATACAACTTAGAGGCATAAGAAAATCTCTACCCTGTTCGGGATAGCTCGTCATTTCGTTTTTATGCCTGCGTTGGAGCCAGGCCTAGTTATAGCTGCCTTTCTGTTCGAAAAAATGACTGTAGTAAAGGCAGCTGCCTCACGAATAGTAAAAACGTTAGACTGGAAAACACATGCGGAGAGAGGCATATAGTTTTATATTTGAAGATCACTAGAAAAAAGTTGCGCTCCAATTTTTAAATAGTTCACGGCAAACATATTTACAAATTAAGTTCGATAACTGAATTATTGAAGAACTGCGTCGATTATGTTAGGTTGCCGATGGGCAACGCCACTGAAAATATATATTATGAATAGCAACTACATTTAAGTACTATAGAATTTTAAAGTGCCAGCAACTAAGGCTCGAGTATGAATAAGCTGAAGAAATAGTTGAAAAAATAAATAAATTATATGAATTAAAATTTCGGCGGAAGCCACAAAAATGCTGTTGCCAATATACCGGCTCAGTTGCCAACTTTCAATTGCCAGCCATCTTTAATACCATTTCAGCAACTTGCAACGCAGCTAAAGTTCGGTTTCCAACCCCAATCGACCCATAAGTTTCAGTCTAGAATAAGTTGGAATGGTTGGAGCGTACATTTAATATCAGCGACGACCAGATACAGCTTTTAAGCTGCTCGCATCCATTTGCTGGTACAGACTAAAAGCTATTTCTGGCCAATACAGTAAACATGCCCGTTCATATTCAGGGTAAAGCTTTTTCTGGACAACACTGTTTTACTGCGGTTTTTATATATAAGCGACGACCAGAAAGAGCTTTTACTCGGTGTGCGTCCATATGCGTCCGCTGTCCTACAGATCTGGCCAAACATTTCTACAGTGATTAAAGACGTCGGTTTTAAGCATTCCACAACTTTTATATAGGAGCTTTTACCCTAAGCTCGTAAAAAGGGTAAAAGCTCTCTCTGCTCATTATATTTCATATGACAGTTCATCAGTTCGCTCGCTTGATTAGATTATTTATGCCCGTTCATAAGGTAAAAGCTCTCTTTCAATACATTTTCACAGTGATTAAAACGTGGTTTTTAAGCTTTCCATAATTTTTATATAGGAGCTTTTACCCTTTGCTCGTCTATATGCGGACACAGGGTAAACCGCGCTCTGGTCAAAACATTTCATATGACAGTTCAGCTAAAAGCTTGCTTTGGTCCATACTTTTCTTAGCTGTGAGTAAAAAAGCTCACTGTTGTCGCATCTCAGTGCGGAAGATTCGTAAATAGTTTTTTTTTCGCTGCCAACAGTATCACTCTGTCCCTTCCTCCACAAAAAATAAGACACAAGTATTTTAAATTTTCAATATTTGTAAACACCATAAAGTGTAGCCTTGAACTTTATTTTCATAGTTTTTTTTTTGTGTTTGCTTTTGTTTCATTGAAGTTCTTTCAGTTGCTTTTTTGTTTTTAATTTTTTTTTCAACGCATTTTATGGCACTTCACCTTAACAATTAAAAACAATGAGATTACAATTAAATATTAATTATAAGCATACGTTTTCTTTGTATCTTAAGTATTTAGAAAAAATAGTAGCAATAGGAAATTTCTCTTTGAATTTATATATATATACAATGCCTAGAGGGGTTAAGTTAGCTAGACAAATTTTGCATAATAAATAGAGTGAATATACATAGTGCAATTAAATATGTAGTAGGATTTGATTGATGCATTTCCCATGCCGTTCCATGCACTTTTTACAAATAATTTGTACAAAGAGCGAGAGATATTTTTTGAAATTTTTAAGTTTTAATTTTTATTTTTTTTTTTTACATATTAACTGGAGTTTTGAAAGTGGTATGAGGCTTAATTTTAGAGAAAATTTGTAATTCGTAATTATTTTTTATTTATAATTTAATTATTGTCATTTCGGTTTTAGTCAATGTGTTGATTTTTTTTTTCATTGAAGAGTAAAAAATTTAAAATTTGTGTGCTATTTTTTCGCTTAAATTTACGATTATTGTCTTGAGTAATGCGATTTTTGTTGCATTGTTGCTTTGAATACGTCCATAAAGCAAGCAAAAAATATGTTTTTGAATGAGAATTTTTTTATTGATTTTTTATCGATCATTTACTTGCAGTTTTTATCGAACTTTGTGAAAGCTTTATCGATCATTTACTTGCGATGTTATCGAAATTTGTGAAAACTTTATTTTTTCAAATACTGTTGCCTAATTTTTGGTTTGTTTTATTTTACCTTCTTTTTACAAATCGTATGAATTTTTTTTTATTATTTCTTTCCCTTTTTTTGCTTGCTTTAATCTTTGTGTATTCTACAAATTTTTGTACTGTTTCAATAACTTGGCTCTTAATGCGTTCATTAACCTCTTCCTAAGTACTTTTTGTTTGTAAATAAATTTACAAGTTTTTTCATTTAAAGGAAATTTTCTTTAAATCACTCTCTTGCGTAGTGACATCACATCTTTCTTACTAGCGTAATTACGTATACTTCTTAGATAATATCATCAAACAAAAAAAAAAATTGAGCTTTCACGCGTGCTTTCACCAGCAAAAGCTTTTTCATTTTTTTTTATTTGCTGCTGATCGTTTTTTGTAAGCCATATCAACGCTTTTAAAGCTTTTTATTACTCATTTTACTCCTCTTCTAGCACGCTTGCGCGTGAATGCTTCTATTTCACTTTTCTAGATAAAAGCTTCCTTCCAACACTCTTAAGCGCTTGCGTGTGAAAGCATTCATTTCACATTACTTTGTAAAAGTTTTTGACGTTTTTAAGCGTCTTGCGCTCGCGCTCAAGCTTCTGTCACAATAAATATATTTTTTCTTACTTTACGCTCTTAACTCAACAAATTAAAAACCAAACTAATAAGTCTTAAGTGCTACGCGCAACGCTGAAACCATCCGATTCGCACGCATGCTGCTACAACCCAACACAACCGAGCGTTGTTTTCCTTCTCAACCTCAAGCTCAGCCTTACTCATCCTTCTTCTTCCTGATCTTGCCCTCAGTCTGTATTGTCTCTGTGACCGCATCAAAGCAGTCGGCAATCGATGGTTCCGACCCATCCGCGCTGTAATCATGACCCGCCATGCGACTCAGCGTCAGTATGTAGGAACAAGCAATACGCAGCACAGAGAGCTTTGAAAGCTTCTGCGCATTCGAGTAGGAAGGCACCGAACGCCGCAGCGTCTCGTAAGCGGCGGAGATGGTATGGACGCGCGTGCGCTCACGCGCATTGGCCTCAATGCGACGTTCGCGTGTCATATTCTTGTAGTTGCGTTGCTGTGGACGCGCACTACCGCTGCCAGTGCTGCCGCCACTACCACTAGCGCCGCTGCCACAAGGCGCCTCTTCAGCGCTGCTGGGTTTGTACTGCTCTATGGCGGAAGCGGCGGCGACGGCGCCGGCGCCTGATGCGTGCATCTCTTCAAAGCCTGACGCGTTTGCGTTCGCGACATCCGCTGCAGCTAAGCTAGTTGCGCGCGCCGTTAACGATAGAGGGACGGAGGACTCTGCGGTGTTGGCATGGAACTTGAGATGACTGTTTGCGGCGGTTGCCGCTTGCTGTTTCTTCGGCACATAAACGGACGTTGTTGCTGATGCATTATCGGACGGCGCATGCGCGTACAAATGCGCTGCTTGTTCACTTTCCCTGCTGTTCGCTGGTTTCTTCGCCACCAACGCCAGCGGTTCCAGTTGTTCCTCTACTGTGGCGGCGGGTATGCGATGTAGCGTTGTCACGCCCGGATGTCGGACAAACACTTGCGCGGGATTGGGCATCAATTCATGAGGTAGCACTTGACTAGGGTCCCAGATGCCATGCGGCAGTAGTGGCGGCGTGGCAAGCGCGGGTGGTGTCAGCACCACAGCCGAATCTGTGGTCGAGGTATAGCGGATACGTTTCTTCAGCGGTGCTGTGGCAAGCGCGTTGGCGTGCGCGCCCTCCGCGGCTGCCGCCGCCGCCGACGCTGCCGCACTTAGGCTGGCATCGACTACTTTGGAGGGTTCGGAACTTTTGCGTTTGTTACGTACGAGCGCAATGGGTGTGACCTTAACCTCGACGGAATCTTCAGAGGCCTCTGTCGTCGCATCAGTGGGGCTGGTTGGAGAGCTGGACTCAAGGCGGGCGTGTTCGATGCGATCAAGATCGTCGCCTCCCTCAGAGCTGCCGGAACAGAAGCCAGCATCGCGATCATTGGAGTTGGGAGAGCCTGCAAGGAGAAGAAGAAGGAAAAGAAAGAGTTAGTAAAATCAAGGTGTGTACAAAGTCAGTGGTTGTCAGTCTTAAACGCTAAAAACTATGAATATTATTTATGTGTAATAAGGGGCAGCAAAGAGCGGACACAAGTCACCACACTTCAACGCTTAAGGTTTGTCTATTGTTAGCGCAGCGCCCTCCCATTCCATTTAATTGAAACGATTTGTTTCTTATGCAAATTCATTGTTGTGTATCTTGTTGGAATTGGTGGCTAATTTGCATAACCAAATTATTTAGTCATTAATACAAGCCACGACACAAAAAAGTGAAACTGTGTTCAGCGCAAAATAAGTAATAAAAATATTCCGCTTAAACCAGTCTGCGCCGCCTACGCGTCTGCGCACAGATGGTTTTCAAAGCGACCGCGGTGCGCGCCGATGCGATAGCTACCTGTGTATTGGCTAATGCTTGTTGTGGTGGCACAGCTGGCGGCAGCTAAAAGCCAGAAGAAGAAAAATACAAATCACCAATAAAAGCAGCAAACTTTAATCGTTTCAAGACTAGCCAAATGCGAAGTAAATGTTTTGTGATTTCAGGGCTTGGCCATGACTCAAAGCCGTCACTGACACCCGCTTAACCAGGTATGTATGTAAATAGCTGACGGTCGGTTCGTCTACAAGATTGGCTCAATGGGCCATTAACAACCGTTGGCTGCTGGCTGCCAGTGAGCAGTTAATGCGTTTTAAGCGCTGCTAAACATTCGAGCTTAGCAGGTGACAGCTCATTTAGGAGCTGACGCGTCAAGCGGGCGAGAGTGTGTAGATAATTTATTGCAGTTGTTTTGAGATAAAATGTTTTTATGTTTTAACCATTTTTGATGTCGCTTAATCGAAATGAAAATGTAGTTTTAAAATAAGCGGCAAAGAAGTCGTGTTTCAATTAAAATTGTTAAATTAAGTTTTTATATTTTCTCTAATCTTATATAATCTGATAATCACTTGCAGCATAGTCTTAGCATTAAAATACTATTCTCTTCAAGCTAAATTACACGTGCTCAAGCCTTAAAAGCTGGCCAAGTTGGGCTTTATTTTTCCTGTTGTCTGCTGGTCATCAGGAAATTGTGGGTTGTCATTTCCGCCACTCAAAATCGGCTTCAAAGTCTATTGCAGAGACTTAAGATTAAGTCAAACGTAGATTGTTAATAAATAAATTTATGCAAATTAAATTTGGACTACTTGGGGAAAAAGTAAATTGCCTTCAAAATTGAATTGACTTATTTGGCGCACTATATTGCACAAAAGTTGTTCAGAAATCTACATATTACTTGACTCCACAAAAATTCGTATTTATTTACTCATTTTAAACAGCCACGAACACCAAAACGCAATAACCGTTTCAGAACCGTTTCAACCGATTTGAACCGTTTCACTTCTGAATGTAATTTGAATGCCAAAAATGTAAAAATCAACAGCTTAAGGGAATACATCAAATCTAAATTAAAATTTGGCACAGTTTACAAAGTAACGAAACTTTAAGAACATGAAAACCTCAAACTTCATGCTAATCCTTTAACCCGTTTCAAAACCGATTCGAACCATTTCACTTCCGAATAAAATTTTGCGAAATATATTAGTTTTGTCGAATTATTAAAGTTTCATCGGATTTTTTACCTACATAATAAGGGTACCTAAAAGACAAGAAAAACCACGAATTTGCTGCTATTTCTTTCTAATTTACTTTATTTCATATAAATTTCTTCAAGCCGACCTAATACAAGTAGCACCGAGACAAAAAACGCGCCAAAAATTTTCATAACGGTTTTAGAACATATTCTTCTAATCTAACCGTTTCAATTCTAAACGCTAGGTTAAAGCTGAAAAATACATAACTTGGAGTTTTATGGAACCTTTTAAACTTAAGTTGATATTTTTGCTGCAAGTAACACAGTAACGTTACTCAAAATACATTAAAATTCTCAAATATTTTGCTAGTTTTTTTTGATATCGCTTTATTTCATATAAATTACTAAGATAATGGTTAGTTCGACTAGCTTTAAACTAAAAAAAATCAATAACCGTTTCAAAACCGTTTCTTTTCTACCAGTAATTTTGAGCCGGCAAATGTAAAAAAATCAAGTTTTATCGAAACTTCCCCGAACTAGCTTCCCATGAAAATTTTCAGCAACCATTTCAAAACCGGTTCGGCCGGTTATAACCCATTAAAGTGTAGAAAATTTACATATTCTTAGCTTCAAACTATAAATTGTTACGTTATTTTGTTATTTAATCTACTGTCCCTAAAAAAAAATATTAAAAAAAGATCTCGTGCCCTACAGCCTTTCGCTTTAACTCCGCTGCTAAAAACTCATAACTCAAAAAGAAACATTTCAACGATAAGGTAGATGTCAAAGTGTCATACAGGGCGATATTTTCAAGTTCACCCCAAGAAAGGCAACAACCTCACCAAAAAAAATTCGCGGAATCGCACAATTGAAAGTGGCTCGAAGGCGTACAGCAAGTAGAGCGAGAACAGTGAAGAATGAAGCGAAACAAGTGCCTAAAAAATTCATAAATTCGCAAGCACTGTGCATTCTAAAAACCTCAAAACTTGTTCCAGCAAAACGTAGCAAGTGCGTACTTTGGCCACCACATGCGGCTCATCGGCAATTAAGGATAATGTGTTTGGTATGCAAATTAATCGTATTTTGCGATTCGAAAATATTCTACTCACTGCGCTTGGAGCTTGCAAGCTGAATCATTGAGTGGCGGGTAAAAATTGGGAGAAAATGCTAAAAACAGAAAAATAAAATAACGAGATTTTTAATGAAAATGAAAGGGCAGCAGTAAGTAGTGAAGGGTTTTTTTCGACGTATGAGTATTTTGCGCAATTTTGTTTTTTTTTTTACTCAACGCAAACAGGTGCAACCTGCTACGGTTTGTCGTATGGACAGCTGTGTTCACTCTGGCAGCTAAGCGAGCTAAGGAACGTAAGCCTACTGAATTTTTATTTTACTAATTGCGCTGGCTACAAGCAAATTAAGCAGCCACTTGACGAGCTAGTTAATTGACTCGTTAAAATAAATTAGCCTTTTCGTTTTTAATTTTACAACGCAATAAATTTCCGATAAAAATAAATTTCTAGTGAAGTTTTTAGCGTTTTTTGAAATAAATTTTAATTCTCTGACTTGTTTATCATTATTTTTGCATTTTTTGGAGCTAAAGATACGAAAACCGTTTCATAACCGATTCAACCGGTTTGGACCGATTCGAACTAATTCCTTCTAATTTTGCGCATGACGCACACAAAACTACAATTTTGCTTCAAAACGAAAAATATATATAGATTTTCAAGGGTTCCTCTGGGTTTTCTACGCCATTTTTGTATCCACTGCGATTTATTTATTTAATTTTTAACTACTCATGCAATTTTAAGCCTAAAACGGCAGTATCGTGTCAAAACCGATTTAACCGGTTCAAACCGTTTCGAACAGATTGTTTGTAATTTCAAAAGTGACGGACGCAGAAGAGATTTTAGCTGCAGAACTGTCTTTTTTTTCATTTTTTGTGATAATTTTCTAAACGATATTAGCATACAAATTTTATTGATATATAGGAAAAATTTTTGCTTCATTTGCGTAATACTCGTGTCATTTTAGTAAGTCGCAGTTGCAACGTTTACCCGAAAAAAAAAACACTCCAAATAACTCCAAACCGCAAAGTTTCAAAACCAGCGCCTGACAAACAGGCTGCCTACCGTCAAAGCAACGACCCACCTTCAGCAGTATGTCAGTGTGCTAAGCAGCTAATCAGCACAAAAACAAAATTGCATAAAATTTTGTATAAAAAGGTGAATAAAATTAAATATTTATTAATGCAAAAACATGGAATTAAAAAAAAAAATATGAAATGCGCTGACGCATGCGCCACATTTTGCAACAATGTATGTACACAATCACTTACATATGTACAGCCATGCATGCACCCCAAACGCCGAGCACATTTGCTTAAGTGGCAAATTACAACTTTGAGGCAATGACCAAAGGCGTCGCCAGCGATCGTCACAACCACTCAACTCGACAGACGCTTGGCGACAAAATGAGTATTTGCACAACTGTTAAGTGAGGTGGTGGTATGGTAGGTGTAGTTTGAAAAAATATGTAAAAAAAAACAAGCTGGGTGAAGTGCAAGTAGGCTTATAAAAACAACGGCAGGAAGGAAGGCCCACATTAAAACAGCCGTGTTCTACGAATTACTTAGCCGTTGCCGCTTTAATGTATAACATTTTGTTTTCTTGCACCACACTCCTCAACTTCTCTCTATCTATAACAGCTCATTGCATATTTTCCAATCAATTAGCGTCATATAAAAATCCAGATTAGCTTCAAGCTTGTTGGTATCCGCAACGAGCCTACCCCCCTTCGATCAACATCCGATGAGCAGCCGTGCTGGGCAGCGCTTAGCACAATGCTACATTAAATTGCTACCTTTATAATTGATATGCTTATAATTGCTTTTCTATTTTAAATAAAATTTTAATAGCACAGCTGTTTTAATTCTTTTCTGGCTTACTCATTTGCTTTTAATTGCTGACTATTTGTTTTTATTTCTTAATGCAAAAAAGCTGTTTTGCTCAACGAAATTAAGCGAGAAAATACTTGATAAAGTTTGGTGTGTGTGTGATTTGTGATAAATTTTGTAATTTCGAAAAAATAAAAATAATAATTTCCAGAAAAACAGGACTTCGGAATTTGGTATATCCACCACTGACTTGAATAATTTGTGCAATTATAAATGTTGTTAAAAGTACAAATTTAATTTAAGTTTTTTTTTTGAATACTTGAAATATTTTTTGGAAAATATGCAAATTTTTTAATTAACATATTAATTACACCGTTTACGTTTTTACGTATAAAATTTAATTAGAATGTAATTGTTTTTGAATCTTTTTTTGGCATCTTTTTTGAATGAGTCACCCCAGCTGCTCGAAAACTGATCACGCAAAGCTAAAATCTGT